TCACTGGGCTCAGGCTATTTCTATAGCAGGAAGTCAGGCCTTTTCCTCCCAAATCAGTAAGGAGAGGCTAAGGGAGGGGAGCACACGGGAGCAGGGCATGAGCAGTGCTGAGGACAAGGACTTCAGAAGGTTTAGAAAATTGTTTTCGCTTTCCCTTATGGGACCATTTTGGGTCAGGCTTGCACTTACAGCCTATGATGCTAGGGCTTGCCTGGAAAATGGGTAGGAAGGTTCCAGCCCTTGAATTCAATCTTGCTCACAAATCTAGCTAATTAGACACAAATGTTGCTAATCTCAACATTTCACAGAAGGGCCATGTGAATCCTTTACTTGGGTACCCAGCTGCAGGTTGGAGAGTTGGCTATCAATCAATCAGAATAGAGCCAGAAGGGACCTTGGAGATCTTCTAATCCAACCCCCTACTCAATCAGGAGACCTTATACCATTTCACATAGGGTAGGTGCTGTCCAGTCTTTTCTTAAAAACTTTTTTTCTTAAAACTCAAGCAATTACTTTTGCTGGCCTTCAAAGAGTATAGGTTCATCAGTCCAAGAAAGGAAAATATAATCCAAAAATCAAGGTTGGATAAATCCAAACACACACACACACACTCTTTGCCTTTTCCAGGATTATTAATTCAAGATTTGCAGATTAGATTAGCAAGGAGCCCATATAATTTACCCAAGGAAGATTAGGAAGAGAGGTCAGTCATTATTTCTTCGTCCTTGAGTGCTTGGGGCAATCTCCATCTCCAGCCAGAGTCTAAAATGCAAGCAAGGTTTCTGGCCTTATTTTTGGACTTTATGTTTCTTTCCTGGCATTCTCTCTTTGTCTTGCAACAGTCACCCTGATAAAGGCTTCTGGAGAAAATGAATGCCGCCCTTAATGCTATTTTGGCTCTACTGAAGGTTTTCTCCAAGAAAATAACTGTGCTGCTTTAGCCAAAGTACAACTCCCGGAGAAAGCCTCTCTGCTGTGTACAAGGTCAGTGGAAACCCATTCTGAGCAGGAGCGCAACCCTGCTATATTGGCTTCGTTTGATTCAGGAGAATCCCTGCTCTGAAATAACTGCATGTTAAGAGACAGTGCCACGAATCCTACAAGCCTTTGTGGTGAGTCCTCCTTAGCCCCAGCTATTTATCAGAAATGCAAGCTGATTAATTTAAGACTGGCAACTTTTCAACTCGCCAGTGCTTTGTAACAGCAGTTTGACAAGCAAGTGATACTGGTTATCTACATGCTGTGAGCCTTATTGTGTTCTGAACCTCAAGCTGTTGTTAAAAAGCACAAGGCAATGCCAGGCCAGCATTTTTTTTCCCTCTGGTCAGTTGGCAAACCTAAATATAACATGCCTGAAATTTGTATTCTAGGAATTCTCTCTCCTTTCCTCTCCCATCCCCAGCAGCATAGATCACTTTAGAAGATGTATTTGTTTATTTCAAAATATTTATAAGCTGCTTCCAGCAACAGGGTCCACAAAGCAACAGAGAAAAAGGATTCAGATGTTGATACAGCCATGGATATTACTCAAAACACTTGTGCGTTATGAGTAAATAATAATGCTCGGTCCGAATAAAAACAATGACCCCCCCCTTACTTCAATTGGCAAACAGTATTTCTGTAAAGATATCGAGTTTCCTTCAAAAAACAAAAAATAAAGAAAATATGAGATACACAGGGGACTACAGCCCCGTCAGGGTTTCTTGGTATGCTGAGGCCTTCAGTCACATGTGAATGATCCACACTGGAGCATGTGCAGAAGCCTAACATTTCCAAAAGCTACGCACAATGTCCCTGAAGCAAGATATAAAGACACACATCAGGACTCCCCCCTCAAAGAACTTCTCAGCCTCTGGTCTCCATTCATTGTTAAAACATCCTTGTTTCTCTAAGGTCTCTGGCTGTTTTTTGGATTCGGTTTTGCTCTCTGGAGTTTCCTGAGTCACTCAGCCAAAGCCTTCCTTCCAAGACAGTATAGAGTTTGAAATATATATCTTGGGGAGTCGAGTTCTTCCTCTGCTGCAAAAACGGATGTGCAGCTTTCCACCTCCCCATACTTGGCAGTTCTCCTCAAGCACAAAACCCTCTCAAAAGCCCATCCCCCCCCAATCCAGGGCCTCACGCCAAGGCCATGAGAACTTCCTTTTTCTGCTCCAACTTCATATATATGAAGGACGAATAGGTACTAAAGCCCCACAGAAGTTGGGGAAGGGAGGGGGGAGTGTCAATCCAACATATTTAAGCTTCTCTACAACTTCTTTAGCAGTTAGTAGCAGCAGCAACTCTCAGCCACACACAATAGTGAGTCTTTTACCCATTTCTATTTGTATTTGTATCTATATGTATTTGTAAGGCATTTGTATCCCTTCTATGCCCCTCTAAACTCTTGTATTCCCAGGGCTGCCAGGACATTGCAATCTAGGTCAAACTGCAGGGTTCTCTTTTCTTTCCTAATAAAACTTAGTTTTATTATTTATTTATTTATTGTGCTTTTGAGTCAGTTCTTGACCTTGGCAACAGCCTGGACAAGTCCCTGCATTTTGGGGGGGCAAGATTTCAGGAGTGGTTTGCCATTTCTTTCTTCTTAGGGCTGAGCGAGAGTGACTGGCTCCAGGTTGGCTAACTGGCTTTGTGCCCAAAGGCAGGACTAGAACTCACAATTTCTCAGTTATTAGCCTGGTGCCTCAACTACTAAATCAGGCTGGCTCTGGCTTAATTTTAATAATGCCCATTAATTCTGCAAAGAGCTCTGAGAATATATGTATTGCACTGTTGTGTGCCACTGTTTTTTGAAGCAGTAAAACTGAATCATACTGAGCAGTCTCCCCAGTTACGAAGAAAACAAGATGAAACCCACATCCAGAATGGAAGGACGGGGCATGATGTCTGAAATAAAAGACAAATTAAAGCATTGCAAAATGTCATAAGCCATTCCCCAAAGCAACGAGGTTATGCATAAAAAGGTCAAATAAATCACCATCCAGCTCACTGAATAATCCCCTCAAGGGCCTGTGCATCAGAGTGCAGCAATACAAAGGTGGAAATTCAGCCATAAATGGAAGCAGAATTTATATTCAAACCCGCATTTACCCAAACCTCATATCTTCGAACCCCGGGCCTGCAGGCCAACAGCTGCACCTTAAGGTTTTCTTCCCTCCAGCCTGACATTCCTTAAATCTCTCTTTTTAAAATCCTCTTACATGCTTGGGCCACACAACACACTAAATCACAGTGTAGTTTGTTAGCTTAGTTTAGTGCCTGATGTTTCACACACCATAGTTTGTAAATGATGGCTAAGCGTACAGCGCATTATTGAAGAAAACATGGTGAAACCAATGGCAGTTTAGTCTATTGTATAAACCAGGTTATAATTGCAGTTCCTTGCAGGGCAACTGTTACATCAGTTTGCATCTCCAGAAAAAAAAAAAGTCTCTGCAAGGGCAGACTTTCTGACCATCTTCTGGTGCATTCATAGTCTGGGGGTGGATACAACCATGGCCTTTCCAGCTTCATAGACAAAGCAGCCATCTTGCAGCCAAAATAACTTCCACTGCGGATATCAGTAGCATTGGACACCAAGTGGACCCTAATTGAGCTAGAAAAATTAAGGCGGGTCAGAACTGATCAGGCATCTGGCAAAAGCCTGGAAGCTGAGGGATACAGAAAAATAAATTCTTTGCCTCCCTCTTACTTGGATGGGAGGCCACGAGGAAATACCAGCGCGGTAGGTAGACTGGAAAGTTGAAAAGAAAGTAAAGATTACTCTATGGACGCGCTCATGACTGCGAGCCCTACCCGACGATTCAGAGGCTGCAGCGATGCCTCCTGAGCGGAGCCTTCAACGGACCTTTACGCAAGAGGAGAGCTCGGGGGACAGCAGAAGGAGCTGCCTGGCGCCTTTCAGCCAAAGCGGCGCGATCACGGCGTAACAGCGCGCTCTTCTGGACAAAAAACCCGACGGAGCATGCCAGGTCCGACCGGTGGCACTTTGGAGAATTACTTCCTCCTTCTCCATCATCATCGTCGTCATCATCATCATCATCATCAGTATCGGATATGACAATTCCTTCCCTCCCCCCTCTAGGAGAAACGATTATAGGACTTTATAATTCAGCTTCTGGACATTAATGTACTATTGTTTGTCTTCTCCCTTCCCCTTTTTTCCACAGCGCTTATATAAGGTGGAATAGAGGAAGGAAGCCCCCGAGGAAGTGCACTGTAGAGTGAAGATTTGATCCAGGCTTCCTTGTTGACATTGCAAACCCTCCCCCGCGAAGACGTTGGCAATCTCTGCCTGCATGACCAGGTCTCTCCCCCGGAAAAGGTCTTCTCCTTGTAGGCACGGTGCGGGGCCCATCAGAAAAGGGAAAGGGGGACTAGCTTCCTTCTCCCAACCTGATTTGCTAAATTGCAGCCTCCTTGAAAAAAAAAAAAGAAAAATGCACAAATCTTATTTGCTTCATGGCTGTCGTGGAACTTTATTTATGTATTTAATTTCCCCAACCTGTACTAGAAATTTTGCTCCAATGTTTTCCAAAATCAGGAGCCTAGTTTCTATTTTATAAGCCCTCTGTAGGCTTTGTATTATTTGTCATGGCTTGGTCAAAAACAATAAATAAATCGATTGATCAGTTAAAAGAAAACAGTTTTCATGGATGACCTTTCCTCTCACAGTAAATATGAATAGAATTACTTATGCACCCAATAATCTTGCCCTATTTTTGGAAATTGCCTTGGAAAAGACTTTTGGAGCTGAAGCTTAGGTTGAAATAGCCCATAATATCATCTTGGAGAGTGCTTTTGGACAAAGGAATGGAGGCAAAAGAGCAGTCGATGCTTAGATGAGCCCTGAAACAATGAGATGGCTTGGAACGTCTGGATTTCTCTCAACATTTCTTGGGCAGGCTTTTATTTCTTTGTTTAATTTGCTGCCCATCTTGTAGCAAATGACTCTCATAGCAAAGGGTTACAGCTTTCACAGGTGAGGTTTGCCGTGCCTAACCCTGCCCAGCCCAGTGTTGTTAGCAACACAATCTGGCAACTTTGAGAGACACTTACGAGAGTCGGTGACTTTGACAAAATGCAGCGGCTTGGCCTAGTGGAGTGGGACAGGCCTTTCTTCCTTTTTCTGCTCTTCATTGCCTGGGCAATAGGTAAGAGCTTGCTTGTGCTTTTGAATTGTGGGGGTTCTTTGTGCTCTCTGAGTTTGGCTGTTTTGTTGCAGGTGTTTCCTTTATCAAACTAATTAACATCATTAGTGCTAGACATCACTAGCACTGATGAAGTTACCTATTTTTGGTAATGAAACATCTGCAACAAAACAAGGTTAGAGAGCATTGAGGATCCCACAGTCCTACCCAGAACTAGAAATATTCTCTTTGATCATCTTTTGAATTATGGCTGAGGGACCATTTGGTGGTGGTGGTGGGAGGCTTTTCTGAACTGAATTACCCTACCCAAAGTGCTGTTTGGCTTGTGATAGGTGCATTCAATCTACATCGGGCCCCTTGTAGGAAAGGATAAAATGGACCATGAATCAGTTGGGGGTTTCAAAATTTTTTACTACAGGTTCTGTGGGCATGGCTTGGTGGGCGTGGCATGGCTTGATGGGCGTGGCTTGGTGGGCGTGGCAGGGGAAGGTTACTGCAAAATCCCCATTTCCTCCTCATTAGCTGGGACTCAGGAGGCAGAGAATAGATTGGGGCGGGGCCAGTCAGAGGTGGTATTTATCGGTTCTCCGACTACTCAAAATTTCCGCTTCCGGTTCTCCAGAACTGGTCAGAACCTGCTGAAACCCACCACTGCCATGAATCATATGTAGATAAGCACTTCAGAAGAATACTTCCCCCAGATCTCTTGAAGCATGTGATTTTACATAGTGGCTTGTAGGGCACACGAGCTGCACAGTTTCTTGAATTAATTTGAGGGGGTTATAGGAAATGCCCACCTCCCCCCACCCACTCATGGGAATTCATGGGCCTCCTGGAAAAGTGCAGCACTTGCTTTATATCAAGACTTGTCCCTCCAATTCAGGTGCTGGTGTTAATTATACTTGCAGGGATCTGTCAAAACTCACTTGCCAAACAGCAAGTGTCCCAGTCCGGCTAGCTCCAGTGCAGCCTCCCTTCATCTGCAGCGAGGCTCAGAGATTGAAGCCGGGTCTGCAGGGCTGATCAGGACCAAATGGCTTCCATTCCCCTTGCCTTGCCAGTTCTTAAGGGAGGAAAACAAAAACAAAGCAGCTCTTGACCTAGGCATAGCTTGTTTGGTTTCTTTGTTTGTGTTTGTTTTCCAAGGTGTTGCCTGGAGCGTGTATATGTTTGTGTGTGTATGTGGGGGGGAAGCAGTTTTTCTTGCTCTGTTTTTCCTATGGTAGCTCTGCCCTTTAAGAGGCAGGTCTTCTATTTGGCTCTGCCCTCAAGCCCAAACTAATATTAGGGGGCTCCACTCCTTTGCCCCCTACCCAGGCTTAATTCCTTGATCTGGAGGACTCTACCTCCCCTCCCCATCTTTTTTTCATTTGGAAGAGTTGGCAGTCCTGGGTCTTACAAACGCAGTCTCCTTGTTCCTCAAAGGGGGTTTCCTGGATTCTTTGTGACAATGGGACAGAGCATCTGATTTTTTCCTGCTCTGATTTGCAGAGGAAATTAGTGCAATGTTGGTGCTCTTGATTAGATTCTCAGAGGAGGAGAGAACCAGATGCAAAGATGATCCAAAAGAAGCTGGAGTAACCTTTTCCACCCTTCCTTAAGAAGGGGTGAATCCAAATGGAACATTATCAATCAAAACACTTGATTAATAGCACCTCGTGGTGTTTTGGGGTGGAGAAATCATGGCATAAATAGTAGCAGAACAGCATCAAATTATGTGGAAGAGACAAGGCAATTACACCATAAAAATGGGTTGTAAGCAGTCAGGGAACATCTCCCTTTATTTCTCATTTAGCAGTGAATTTTCTGAGTGATACTTGCTAGTTAACTCGACTCACAGCAGGTAGAGCATAAGAAACTTTTCTCTTTTGTTTCTTTTCCCATCTGTAGATCCAGATATCGGAGCTGAAGGTAAGGAAACCTGCTTACCCATATTTAATGGCCAGACACCAATGGCTTGAAAATAAGGTTGCTAGTGGTGCTACAAGAACAGCCTTTGATGTGTGACAGCTGTTAAAACAAAGCTGACTGCTCTTAATGCAGACAAACATGGATTATAGCGAAGCATATGTATGAGAGTACATGTGCCACCAGATGGGCATATAGGCACCGGGGTGCCTCAAGGCTGCCTAGGGCTATAGCTTAACAAAATATCCAGTCTTTGATTAAAACAATATGATTGCACCCTAGGAAATTTTAGAATCCAATGATGGATGAGAGGAGGCCAAGAACATTCATTTCATTAATGAGCATGAAAATCTTTGTTCCAGAGGGGATTGTTGTGTAAGTCTGCTGAAGCAAAAGCAACTGAGTCCAGTGGCACCTTGGAACCGGCATATTAATTATTACATGTGAGCTCATGTGATACTCGGTGCATCCAGGTGTTACAAGATACTTTATTGTTTCTACACTTTAACCCAAATAATTAACCACAAAAACGCAATAAATTAACAAACTAGAAATGATCCACCAATTAACAACTTATTTATTTATTTATCAAAATTTATATGCTGCCCTTCTCCCCTAGGACTCAGGGCGGCTTACACAATAAAAGAACATGATAAAATACTAAAACCAAAAACCAAGTTAAAATCCCCACAATTTAAAATCACACAGCCGATCAGGGGATTTGCCGAAAGAGCCATGTCTTTAGGTCAGCGCGGAAAGTGTGGAGGTCAGGAGCCGTCTGGAGCTCGGTGGGTAACCCATTCCAGAGGGTCAGTGCGGCCACAGAGAACGCCCTCGACCTGGGGGCCGCCAGCCGACATTGTCTGGCCGATGGCACCCGGAGGAGGGCAGCTCTATGTGAACGCACTGGGTGGTGGGAGGCCGATAGGAGGTGGTCCTGCAAGTACCCCGGGCCCATGCCATGAAGGGCTTTATAGGTGAGAACCAGCACCTTGAAGTGGATCCGAAAGGCCACCGGCAGCCAGTGCAGCTCACGCAGGAGAGGTGTTGCACGGGAGTAATGGGAAGCTCCCGTAACAACCCGCATGGCCGCATTCTGGACCAGCTGGAGCCTCTGGGTGTACCCCAAGGGCAGCCCCATGTAGAGGGCATTGCAATAATCCAGCCGAGAGACAATGAGAACTTGAGTGACCGTACGGAGGGCATCCCTGTCTAGGAAAGGCCGCAACTGGCGCACTAGGAGAACCTGTGCAAAAGCCCCCCTTGTCACGGCCATCAGATGGTCCGCCAAAGACAGCCGTGAATCAAGGAGGATGCCAAGATTGCGAGCCCTTTCAGAGGGAGCAAGCGGCTCCCTCTCCCATCAAAAGTGATGGGGTCACTAGAACAGGAGATGCCGGAATCCACAGCCACTCAGTCTTGGAGGGGTTGAGTCTGAGCCTGTTCCTACCCATCCAGACCCGTACCGCCTCCAGGCACTTAGACATCACAGAAAGGGCATCCCTGGGTTGGCCCGGGGTGGAGATATACAGTTGGGTATCATCAGCGTACTGCTTCCTAATGTCTTTTAAATTTACTTATTTCTCAATAAGTCTTTTTCTACCTGGCTCTCAGATCTCTTCTATTATGGTTTCTGGCTTTACTACCAATCAGCATAGATATTATCAGAGAATTATGGGTTCTGTATTCCAATACATCTGGAGTGTACAGAATGGAAATTTGATGTATTTCCTTAATTGTTAAAAAAAAACATAGCATAGCTTTCAAGGCAATTTAGTGCCAAATTAAACATTATAAAAACAAAACAAAGAAGCTGCAATATATCTAATTCATTCGGTTAAAAAATGCTGTCATTTCATGAGGAATATCTATTGTTGGCAATTGAGAACTGGGAATTCAGAGTAGTTAGGGGGAAAACTGGTTTTTTTCCCCCCTGACTTGAGAGGAAGCAGGAAGCATCTTACCTAATTAATAATAGTTTTTTCCTCTTCTTTCCCCAGGCATGGAATTATTTTAGAGACATATAAAATAGTGAATTGGCTTTTGAACTTGTCTTTCTTTTTCCAATTTTCCAGCTGTCCTCACTTGACCTCACTGCTATTTTGCTATATTTAATGCTCTTTCCCTTCAGTAGTGGGACAGTTCTGAGGTGTGAAGGCTCATGGGAGGAATCTTTATTCCAAGCCTTTGCTCCAGAAACTTGAGACCAGGACATCGGGAACAAGAAAAGGGGGCAATCCCAATTCAGATAGCATAATCGGTGCATTGCTTTATAGTATGGCAGACATGGGCTACGTTTACACTCCTGCATACTCCAAAGCAGGGGTCTCCAACCTTGGCAACTTTAAGACTTGTGGACTTCAACTCCCAACTTTGCTGGCTGAGGAATTCTGGGAGTTGAAGTCCATAAATCTTAAAGTTGCCAAGGTTGGAGACCCCTGCTCCATAGCATTATTTGGAGGCTGAATATGAAATGCTGCAGAACTTCAGAAAAATGCCATCAAACCCTGGGCTCATTCTGCCCATCGCGATGGGCTGCTGGAAGAAAGAAGGGGTAATGAACAGACTTCCTGAGGTAGTTGAGCTTTGCCTGATCAGCAAGGTCTTGAGGGCTTGGGTAGTTTTGACCAGTCCTTTGCTCTCAGCTCACCTAAAACTGCAATTACTGACTTTTCTGACATATTTATACAAACACTTTATAGAAATTTGATTCAGAGGAGGAGAGTGCCACTATCTTTAGGGAATTTCCCTCATGATGTACAAGTTGATATCCAAGATGGCCATGAGAGTAAAAGCCAATTGTTCACAATGTACATAAAGCAAAACATAGTAAAATGACATATAAAGGCCAATTCAGTATAAGGAAAAAAATACCAGCAGATCCTCCCTTAGTTTCAGGGTCCTGATGTTCAGCTGTTGGTTTTGGCTCAACAATCTATTTCAAATTGCTGGTGTCTTGCCAAACAAGCGTTTGTGCAGCTCGAGGGCAAGCTCTGGTTTTTCATGCAGAAGGTCCCCAGTTCAGCCCATACTTTCCTTCCAAGTGGGAAGGAAAATGTTTCCTGTCCAAAACTTGAAAAGCTTTTCCTGATCTTCATTGTTATAGACCAGTGTCCGAACTGGGGCATTTCAAGAGAAAAAGCTGCTATCAGCTGCACTTGAAATTGCAACTGACAATCTGCAGCCAGAGATTCTATTGTTTTTCTCACCTGGCTCTTATTCTTTCCCTAGCCTCATTAGCAGACTACAGGTAGTCCTCGACCTGCAACAGTTCATTTAGTGACCATTCAAAGTTACAACAGCACTAAAAAAAAGTGACATGACCGTTATTCTCGCTTAGGACCTTTGTAGCAGCCCCATGATCAGTGGTGGGTTCCAACCGGCTTTACTACCGGTTCTCTTCGTGCATGTGCTTCGTGCGTGATCGCCTCTGCTGTCTGCTATGTGGAAGCTGTGGCATTTTGGTCCCTAAAAGCTTGGACAGAAGATGTTTTCTAATTTTTATGTATCAGTAATAAAAGCCCAAATGGTTTAAAAAAAATAGTTGAGCTAGATTATCATAGCACAATTTCACTTAGCAATTTGTTCAAAACAAGTTTAGAAAATGTCAGTTATGCTTGCCACTGGATAGCAAATTGGCTAAACGACCTACTGATTCCTTCTGAAAATGACAGATTTCACAAATAAGTCTTATAAAAAGCCTGATTGTTAGTAACCTTCTTTACTATGTCAGCTGAATTTCCTAGTTTATTTTTTAGCCTCTGGAGAAACATGCAGAATCCTAAAAATCAGGCCAATCAGGAAGCTTGCTCCCCTTCCTCCCCAGCTATATTGATTTATAAAGGTTTTGCTAAATAACCAAAAAAAACAACAACAAAAAAACACCAGTTGTTTCACTTTTGTGTAAATTCCTTTTTCAACAGGAAATGTAAACATTGCCAAAATACAATACATAAAACATCCCTTTCTTATTTTCCCCTAGTACTATTAATTAATTAATTGGTTTAGAATTGCAGAAGTAGTTTTGTGAAAAGGAGAAGGGATGTGTAAAATCTTTTCATTAAGGAGGAAAAAATATTTCCTAACTGGGTCATAGTTTTATTGGAACCAAGTAAAATGAATACAACTGAGCCTGCATATTTTCGCTCCCTAGAACAGTCTAATAGACCTTCAGGATTTCTATAGAATTTTATATCCTATCATCGAAGAACAGGTTTTGGATTTTTTTTCCTCATGGATCATGAATCTGTGTTAATTAACTCAACCATAATTAATTTAAAATACTTTCAGGAGAGAAGTTTTTTTTAAAAAAAGGCTTGCTGAGATTAGTGCAGGGCTGTGCATACCCATTACTCTGCAAATGTTCTTGACTATACCTCCCATCATTCTCAGCCAACATGGCTATTGTAAATTGTTATCCAAAGCATTCAGAAAGTTTGGAGAAGGATGATCTGTTATAAAGGCAAAGCTAGATACATCTTTGGTTCCTCAAACCATTTCTGCTTACTGTCTGCATTCCAACAAATATTTGTTCAAACTTTCTCCTGCAGCGTGCGAATGTGTTCCCACACTGTTAACAAAACAGCTCTGCTAAATGTGGGGGGGTCTCACTATGATTTTAGGAATTTAAGAGCATTTTTCTTTATATGCTCTGTAAAGAACTTGCTCAGAAGGATAAAAGCAACAGGAGAAAAAATACAGGAAAACAGGCAGTCCCTGAAGTGCTGCCTCAGAGGGCATTAAATGTTTTATAATTGAAGAGGCAAGTAACAAACAAATAAAACAATAACAGAGTTGGAAGGGACCTTGGAGGTCTTCTAGTCCAGCCCCCTGCTCAAGCAGGAAAACCTACTGCACCATTTCAGACAAATGGTTATCCAATCTTTTCTTAAAAACTTCCAGTGTTGGAGCATTCACAACTTCTGGAGCCAAGTTATTCCACTCTATTAATTGTTCTAACTGTCAGGAAATTTCTCCTTAGCTCTAGGTTGCTTCTCTCCTTGATTACTAGCAGGAGAAAGGGGGGGATATTAAAACATCCTTCAGGAACCAGTCTTCCCATTGTGCCTAAGAAGATCTCCTATGTTTCAGGGGTATTCACTGGATGTGAAAAAAATGTGAAGACTGTGACTGAAAAATGTGGTTGAAGTTCCATTTTCTATATATATGAATTCCTTCAATCACATATTTACATCCACCATCTTGTTTTTTTTCCAATCACACCCCATTGACATTCCTGCTATGTTTCTTATTTGTGGTAGAAAACATACCTTACATTTTGGAAGAGAGTATGCTGTGCAGGGGCTCCCCAAGTGACACCATGAAATAAATTATAGGTTCATAACAGAATAACTGAGGAACCTTCCAGATATGGCTGAACTACAATTCTTGGCAAGCCTCTCTATTGGTCATTGTAATCCAGTGTATTAAGAGGGTCAGAGATTCCCCATTTCTGCTTATTGTTCTTAAATATTATGTATGAATTTTTTGAATTGAAAGACAAAAAGCAGAATGTGGAAGTAATGTATAGGATAAAGTAGCTCCTCTTTATTAAATTAAAGATAAATCATTTTTATTTAAAAAATAAAATTTATTTAGAAATCAATACTGTATTTTTCAGAGTATAAGACTCACCTTTTTCTCCCAAAAAGAGGATGAAAATCTGGGTGCTTCTTATACTCCGAATGTAGCCCCACCCAGCCTCGCAAACAGAGATTTCAGAGGCTGAAAGAAGCCTCTGAAAGAAGCTTCAGAAAAAAAGCCTCAGAAACGAAGCTTCAGAAAAAAAGCCTCTGAAAGGCTTTTATCTAAAACTAGCTGATAACCCGGCATTGCCCGGGTATTTATTTATCCCAATCCTGTATTAGACAGGAAAAGCCATCACTCACTGTGGTAAGAATTAGAGACCTAACTGCCCTGGCCAACAGCCTGGGAAAAATTCTACAGGGAACAGCCTTTAAGGTGATTATCTGCATTACCAAGCACTTCTCCCAACAATTTGCCCTCTTTGCTTGAAGCTGAGAGCCTGGGGGGTTCATTGTTTGTCTGTCTGTTTGTTTGTTTAAGAACCAATCCCCCTTACCAGAGGGAGCCCCCTTGTGGAGTACTGTGAAGACGTTACCATGGCAACTCCATTATGATGTACATTAGAAGCCATTTTAAGGCACAACAGACTGTATCTTAACAGAACCTGAATACAATATGCACACTATCACTGTCAAAAGTACTGTGATTTGACACTATAGATATAATTCATTCCTTTTCATTTCAGCAGGCCAGGCATTCCAGAGTTATGCTGGAACACACACACACACACACACACAGACACCCCCCCAAGGGGTGTTAGGGGTGTGTTACCTCCTCAGTATTTTTTTTCCAGAGAGTAAGTCATCTGGGTAGCAAGTTTGGTTAAAATTGCTAGAGGCGTTCCAGAATTATGCTGGAACACCCCAGGGGTATCTTACCGCCACAGTATTTGTTTCAAGAGAGCAAGTCATCTGTGTACCAAATTTGGTTGAAATTATTCGAACTGTTCCAGTGTTATGCTGGATCATATACATATATATACATACATAGATCCTTTTTTATATATATAGAAGATAATAATATGGCAAGCAACAAAAGAAGAATCAGTAAAGGTTCTAACTATGTTAACAAATCTGGAGAATGACAAATAACCAACAGATTGGAAGAGGTTAATCTACATACCAATACCAAAGAAAGGAGATTGTTCAGATCAGAGTACAGATAGTCCTTCAGAAAAAAAAGCCTCTGAAAGAAGCGTCAGAAAAAAAACCTCTGAAAGAAGCTACAGAAAAAAAGCCTCTTAAAGAAGCTTCAGAAAAAAAAACTTTTTTTTCTGAAGCTCTGTTTTGGAGGCTTTCAGAGGCAGAAAAGGTTTTTTTTCTGAAATAAAGTTTCAGAATTTTCAGAGGCAGAAAAAAAAAGCAAGGCACAGAGCTCACAACCAACCAACCTGTTGCTAAAATTCACCTCTGGGAACAGCTGATTGGGGGTATTCCGGGAGGCCGATCCACCCGCCAATCAGCGTTTTCCTTATTTTCCTCACCAAAAACGAAGGTGCATCTTATACTCTGAAAAATACGGTAATTGAAGGCAAAATAATCTTTTATTAGCAAGGATTTCTTTATTTTCTTTCTTTTTTGCTCAATTATTTATTTTTATGTATTTTTCATTATTATAAAGCTCAAGAAGCTTACAATCCACAGTTAAAATGCAAGAGAGTATGAGCGGATTAAACACTGCATGAAGGAGAATCAACCAAAAAACCCTCCATCGAACATTAATGCTATATACACGGAAGGCTGGATGAAGAAATAGGTGCTTTGTGAATTTCAGTAAGAAGACCATTCCGGACCAAAGTTGCTATTAGGGAGAACAGTTCTTAGCAGATGGTCCTTGCTATCATTAGTGGCATCATAGGACCAACATTTTCCTGCTGTTCCTTCTCTTAGCTATCGAGTTCAGAGACCTTCCTAAAACAGTGGAACTGGAAGAGAGTGCGGAACCAAATTCAGTTGTGACTACCTTCTCTGTCAATTGTACAAACACAAGCGATGTGCCTGATACATTCCTGAAAATCGTCGCCCCAGTTTCCTCTTTTTTCAACTTTCATATCTTATCTGCTGGCAACTATCAGGTAAACAATATAGGCCGCCAGCCTAATATATCTTGGAATAATTTTTGAGGAATAGTATTTGTATTGATGTATTGTATTGATAGCCAAAGAAATGCTAAGTGAAATGTGGCATTTTTCTAATAATTTACAAACAGTTTGGACTCTTACTACTAAGTGTTCCAGCTTCCTTCAACCCTTTGCACTCTGAAGTTTTCAGATTACAATTTGGAGAATCCCATAATGGGCTTGTGGTCCAACAAATCTGAGGGCTCAGGTTTGGGGGCAACTAGGAGAAAATATTGGGAAAGAGATTGTGGCTCTGTTGCTCTGATGCAGAACAGAAATGAATGGTGGATTTAGTAAATAATGCCTCTTCCAATGCTGAGAAGGTCTTAGGAGAGGCTCTATTTATGATGTTATCAGTGGATAGTGGTAATCTAAATAAGTACTTATTTACTTGTATTCATCCTCACTTTGGAACTCTCTTATGTTCAAAGTGCATGACGTAGTTCTTAATAGTATATTTTATGAATTAAGATATTTATCTATTTATTCATGTGAGGGTTTTTTTGATAGGTTCACTGATGACTACGGCATTTGACTGTTTTTTTTTTTACAATTCTTGGTTTTATATATTTTATATTCATTCTGTAAATCACTTTGCAGTACTTGATGAAGAGTGATGTGCACATTAACAGTAATCTCGAAGAACTGAAAGAATGAAATATAAGGTTAATAAAATCTTCATCATCCCAACACCATGTTACTGAGTTAGCAATAAATTGTCTAAGCTCTTAAACACAGCTGATGTTAAGAAATTATTGAGATCCAGGGTTGCTTTTGAAGTGGCTGACAGTCCAGGGGTGAAATCTACTTACTTTCCCTACCGATTCGGAAGTGCACATACCGCGTGCATGTGCTCACTCTGCGTGCGCATGGGTCACGTGCGTGCTTGGACCCTCTGTGCATGCACAAACCCTTCTGCACATGCGCAGAGGGTAAAAAACAGGTTACTTCCTGGTTAAAACCAGGAAGTAACAACAACCAGGCAGGTGGGTGGAGCCTCACGCTGCCGTCGCTACCGGTTCTCCGAATCACCCATTGCCATTGCTACTGGTTTGGTCAAACTGGTCCGAACTGGTAGCATTGCACCCCTATGACAGTCCTTTGGTGGAAATACCCTCAGAGATGTATAGGGGAGGGAAGAGGCTGGTGAATTTGTTCTAATGTAACTAGGTTCTAATGCTTACTTAAGAATCTCAGCAAGGTTTTTTCTTTTGATTCCCAGGTGAGACTTAGTCCCAGTGCTGGTCTAGATGCTAGAGTGGTGAATCTGTATGTCTTAATGTTCACTGCAAATTGTAGAGGAGAAACAAAAGATGCTCAACTCTTCGTTCAAGTTAATGAAACAAAGAGAATAGTGTGCAATGAAGGATATACTGAGATAGGTAAGAATACTGCAGCTTCCTTGATTAAGTTAGTTTTGGCACATTCGGCAAAAGATAAAAGTGCTTTAATTATTTATTTATTTATTTATTTATTTATTTATTTATTTATTTATTTATTTATTTATTTCGAATTTATATACTGCACCTTCTCCCGAGGGACTCAGGGCGGTGTACAGCCAGCTAAAAACATACAATACAAACATTAAAAACAATTAAAAGGATATATATTAATTTGGCCCCAATTTAAAATGACAAACCAGTTAAAAATGTTTTTAAAAAATGTTATGTTAAGCCAGCCCGGCTTGCTGGAAAAAGAAAGTTTTAAGGGCATGGCAGAAGATTACATAAGATTATAGTGGAATTGGATGAGGTGGAGATTAGTCAGTAGTCAGTGGGATGCATTGAATTTTCCATCAACATGGAGCAGATCCTGATCAGCACAGGATAGCAAAATATTATTTTGACCAAGAAAGAAGAGAGAGTAGAGTAGTGGTAATAGAATAGCCCAAAAGGTCTCATAATCATGAAACGAGGGACTGTTCAATCTCAGCTTGCCCATGTTGCCAGGTTCAGTTCACTACTATGTTAGTTTCCCACCCATCTCTCTTATATCATAGGACGGTTGCGTATACAAGTTTCAGAGGATACTCGACCTGGAGAAACAATCTACACAACTGTCTTGAAGAGGCGGGGCACAGGCAAACTGACCGTAAGTGCAGTGGTTGGGAGAAAAAAAGCAGAAGTGTGCTTGAGAAAAGCTCTGTGATCACAAGGAAGGATAAATTGTTATCCACAAATGAGAGAAAAAATACCTGTGGATCATCTAAGATGAGGTGATCATCTGAGGGGAGCTGGCATTTTGAAGGGTGAGTCGGACAGGGTGAGACTCAGTGGCTGGGGTAACAAGTGGAGGGTATTATCTACTCTATAATCACCACATTGTCTTCCCATCCCACAGTTCACCGTTGAGAATTCTTCTTTACCTTTTGACATAACTTCAGAAGGAGTCCTGCAGGTACCTGCCACAGGTTTCACTCGTGAACAAGCTGGCAAGGTATGTGCTATTGTTTGCCTTGCACATATATCTGCTTAATATCCCAATGAAATAGTGGGAGTCCATTCAAGGCATGTTACTCCTTGGCTCTCTATCATATCCCAAACAATTCCAAGGAGAATTGCATGCCTGCAGGGAGCTTTCTGTTGTCTTCATCAGCATTTTGCCACTAGACTTTGATTTCCACATGTCTTGTCTCAGTTCTTTGGACCTTTCTAATTGTACAGTTCCTAATAGTTTCAGAGAATTATCTGTTTCTAAGGCTTCTGTAGAACCATAGGCTTATTCGTTGGGCCTCTTGGATTCAACTAACCTTTCCTGTATTGCCCCTGCAGACATTCTTTCTAAAAATTGTGGTCAAGGATGCTACCTCAAGAAGTTGTGAAGTGCCTCTGTCTATCCAGGTGAACCCTGTTTACCATAACAAAGTCAGTTTCAGGTGCGTTGGAGGAGGTGGGGATAAAGACATGGTGATATTTATATGTGCATGTTGGGTTGCCAGCAAATAGGTATGGCCCAAGACATCCTGCTCTCCCATTATATCCATTAAAGACATACATTACTATAGAATCCCTTGCAGCAAATAGCACAGAACTGGAATTATGTTATACAATAATTATCACTTCAGAGCTGGTCACATGAAATCCCACTTGATCCCACAGTACAATCTCAGAATCCTCTGTGATATTTACAGGTAGTCCTCAACTTACAAACACAATTGAACTCCAAATTGCCTCTGTTAAGCAAGACAGTTGTTAAGTGAATTTTGCCCCATTTTATGACCTTTTTTGCTATGTGTTGAGTGAATCACTTCAGTTGTTAAGTTAGTAACACGGTTGTTAAGTGAATCTGGCTTTCCCATTGACTTGGCTTGTCAGAAGGTCGCAAAAGGTGATCACATGACCCCACGACACTGCAACTATCATAAATACATGCTGGTTGCCAAGCAACTGAAGCTTGATCACGTGACCACGGGAATGTTGCAATGGCCGTAAGAATGAAAACTGGTCATAAATCACTTTTTTCAATGCCGTTGTAAATTTTAAAGGTTACTAAATAAATGGTTGTAAGTCGAAGATTACATGTATTGGAATTTGAAGATGCACTGCTCAAAATGATGCTTTGCTGGCACCTCTAAAATTTCTGTCTGCTCAATCATTCATGGCCTGAGGCAGGGCCACTTACTACTAATGGAAACCCCAGCACATGAGGAATCACCTAGGCTCCATCCATTGTACATGACTTATACCCTTCTCTGGGGAAAAAACTGGAAGAGCCAAAGCTTGAATCAAGTTGCACACTTCTGGAACTCCTGAGATGTTATGTTTTCTACTGAGATTTTTTGAAATCCCTGCCGTGTAGATCAAATTGTGGATCTAGAATGTATTGCAGAAAGGGGATGAGGAGATTTGATCCTCTTTCTATTGTCTTATATAAGAACAAGTTTCCTGTCTCTTCTACCTCATAGGTCTAGGACTCAGGGGTGGGCAATTGTGGCTCTTTTACAACCTGTGGACTTCAACTCCCAGAATTCCTGAGACAGCTTGTTGAAGTCCACAGGTTGTAAAAGAGCCACAATTGCCCACCTGGTCTAGGTCACATAGATTGAACAGACTGGAGTATGATCCATACTTGTAGCTCAACCAAACACCATTACATGAACCAAATATATTTGGAACTCTGAGGAAGACATGCATGGGGGCAGATTTACTTCAGGATATATCCTCGTCAATGTTTATATTTTTGGGCCTATGTAACCATATAACTAATTTTTTTACTTCAAGTAGGCAGAGTAAACAGTATTGCGCTTGATAGGCTTCTGACTCGGAAAGAGTTATTTACACTTTTGCCTTCATAATTCAGGGAATCATCAGTTGCATGTTCAATACTGGAAAATGTACCACCTTTGTCCAACGTCACACAGGTTCGAGCAAGTGGGGAATCTGTGCTCTACCAGATCATCTCCCCAAGAACAAACCTTTTCACCATTGAACCAGGTAATGAAAGCCCCAGGTAAGCCATAGCATCCACACCACCTCAGGAAGTCTCTAGTAGCTAGCTACGCTGATTTTCAATTCTCAGCCCTCTTGCCTTCAAGAGGCTGAGAATCATTCTTCCTTCATTATAGGGCAGGGATGTCAAACTCGATTTCATTGAGGGCCATATCAGGGTTGTGTTTGACCTTGGGGGCCGGGGTGGGCGTGGACAGGGTGGGCGTGGCCAGATTGATGTCACTCGTGTCGGGGTCATCTGTGGTGGCCTAAGTGGTCTGCCAGCAAAAACGGGCTCCTGAGCTCCATTTTCAGCCGTGACAGCCTCCTGCTGCCCTCTGCCAGTGAAAACGAAGCTCAGATGGGTCGCATGCAGCCCCCTGAGCTGTGTTTTCAGTGGCAGAGGGCAGCAGGAGACTGTTGCAGCTGAAAACAGAGTCTGGGAGGGCTGCTTGTGGTCCTTCTGAGCTCCGTTTTCACTGGCAGAGGCACCGTGGGCTGGTCCTTTGTTGTTTCTAGGATGGCCCTGCGGGCCAGATCTAAGTACCCCATGGGTTGGATCCAGCCCCTGGGCCTTGAGTTTGACACCCCTGTTATAGGGCTTCCAGGGGAGGTATGGTGAACTGAAAACAGCTCTGTAAAAGCAACAAAAGTAAAAACAAGTGGTAAGAACCAAGGAACCAAGTGAGTTTGGTTCCTTGGAACCTTTCCAGATAAGGAGAGGACAAGCTTGCCCATATGGCTGCTTCTCGCAAGGAGACTGGCAGTCTTCTGCGTTTGAGTACCAGGAATTGAAAAGATCAACCATCTTGCTTACAACCATGGAAGAGCTTTTAAAGGACACTAAGTTTCTAATTACTTTTGGAATTTGCCTACAAGTTCCTTACGACCACAAAATTGAACCTAAAATTTCCTTTGCTAAGCAAGACTTTTCTTGTCACTGTTGTTAGTCACTGCAATTGTTCAGTTAGTAACATGGTTGTTAAGTGAATCTGGCTTCCCATTGGCTTGTCCGAAGGTCACAAAATGTGATCACATGACCCCGTGATACTGCAACATTATAAATACATGCCAGTTGCCAAGCGTCCAAATTTTGATCACATGGAGATGGTGCAATGGTCATAATTGTAAAAAACCATAATCAGTCATTTTTTTCAGTACCATTGTAATTTTGAATGGTCATTAAATGAATGTCAGTCAAAGGACTATCTGCATTTATTATTCTAAAGCTACAGTATTAGAGACCTTTGGAATAACAGGTTTGAAGTCTTCATCAGGAAAATGTATCTTCAACTCTGAACAAAAGAAAAATTAACTACAAACTTAAGAGATTAAAGAATTTGAAACAAACAGCAAAAAGCTAAATAAGTTTTTGATCTACTGTAAGAAAGTTACTGTACAGATGGATTTTTATTTATTTATTTATTCAATTTATATGCTGCCCCTCTCCGAAGACCCAGTGCCGCTCACAATACACTCAAAAAATTACTATAAAAACACTTAAAAATTAAAAACCTTAAAGACATTAAAACCCATTCACACCATTCATGGCCGGATCTCGTCAGATCGCAAAGCGAGATCAACGGCCCCAGGCCTGCTGGAAAAGCCAGGTCTTCACCGCTTTTCGGAAGGCCAATAGGGTGGGGATGGTCCGGACCTTGGGAGGTAACTGGTTCCAGAGAGCTGGGGCAGCCACAGAAAAGGCCCTCCCTTGCGGGCCCGCCAGCCGGCATTGTTTAGCTGACGTGACCTGGAGGAGACCAACTCTGTGGGATCTTACTGGTTGCTGGGAGCTATGTGGTAGAAAGCGGTCTCGAAGATTAGGGGTCCAGATAAATTTGAAGTATTGACTTTTACTATAAGATTTTGGAATTAACTCTAAAAAATAACAACTTCTTGTAGGAAACAGTTGTTTTGATTATTGCAATTGGAAGTGAGATAAAAGATAAGTTATGATTTTAGAAACTAGATACTAGAGTAGAGGTGTCAAACTCGCGGCATCACATTGTCGTCATGTGACATATCACGACTTTTTCCCCCTTCGCTAAACCAGGGGTAGTTGTGACGTGTCTGGCCTGCGGGCCATGGCTTTGACACCCCTGCACTAGAGGGAACTAAAGATTTTAAGCAGGAGACAAACAGTACTGATGTCAATTAATACTGGGACTTACAATATGATACAAAACATTATAACTTCAGAAATATTAAAGGAGATCTTTGAAGAATAAATCCATCAGTTAGTAACTAGAGTATCAACAGTGTCAGTAACAATGTCTGCTTCTATAGGTAATCTGTGTCTAAAAGATGTTAATGAAGGAACAACAAATGTGATCAGAAATTTTATCTGATAAGACAAAGTACAGAATGTGGAACTACAAATGGCAGACCAAGAGAACAATTTAGAAAAGGACAGATGATGAGCCAAGGGAATGGCTTGAAAAATGCTTTCTTATTGGATCTACAAGAAATCTGTGTAATAGGATAAAAAAAGAATTGAAGAGAAATAAAATCCTATGACAGTATTCTATTGAATTAAGACTGCTAGAAATAAAAGGAAGGAATATAAAGTTGTTTATATAATCAAGGTTAAAATTATTTTTTGTAACGTTCTAGCAACTCTTTATGAGCTTATTAATGATACCAGGGTTGAAAACTTGATTTTTTAAATGAATTTGCATATAGCTAAGACAGTGGTGGGCTGCTGCCGGTTGTAACAACCGGTCCGCCCAGAACTGAAAATGTGAGTGCGCGCCTTCCGTGCATGCACGCAGCATTGAAAAACTGGTGATTATATGGGACGTGATAGCGGGTGGGCGGGGCCAGTCGCTGGTCGGAACTACCGGTTTGCCCAAACCGGTCTGAACCGGCAGCAGCCCACCACTGAGCTAAGGGATGGGATATGAGAAAAAGAGATATCTGTTTATAAACATTGAAGAGTTATTAAATTTGTTTATTGGTGTTAATTTATTTCTTTTCTTTTTCCTTATTATACAGGTAGTCCTCGACTTACAACAGTTCATTTAGTGACCGTTCGAAGTTACAAGATCACTGAAAAAAAGTGACTTATTTCACATTTTGACCATTGTAGCATCCCTATGATCACATGATTTACATTCAGATGCTTGAAAACTGACTCACATGTAGTATGGTTGCAGTGTCCCAGAGTCATGTGATTGTCTGAGAAGCAAAGTCAATGAGGAAACCAGATTCAATTAAGAAGCGTGTTACTAATTTAACAGCGGCAATGATTCGCTTAACAAATGTGGCAAGAAAAGTCATAACATGGAGCAAAACAAATCACTTAACAAATTTCTTACTTAACAACATCAATTTTGGGCTCAGTTGTGGTCGTAAATTGAGGACTACCTGCATTTTCTTTGCTTTTCTTCTTTCTTTTTATTTTTTACTCCACTTTTATTCTTACTTTCCATTCTCTTCTCTTTCTCAAGTTTAGTTTGTATATGTTTTTCCAACCGTAATTAAAATTCTTAATAAAATAATATTTTTTAAAATTATGCAGATACAGGCATCATCAGGACCACATACTACTTAGATCTGAAAAACAATCCAATCTTAGCCAACACCCAGTTGGAGGTGAAAGCTTACAATATGTTCAACCACGCTGATCATGCCATCATCATTGTCAACATTACTGTGAAACAGGAGAACTTGGAAGGACCCTTGTGTTCTCCTGCTGTGATTGTGTACGTCTCTGCAAAGGAAATTGTGGTAGCTTCAGCCAAGATAACATAGAGTACTAGAATCAATTTGAGGGTGTCTAACTTTCTGCATAGGGATGCATGTGTGGTAGATTAGGTGATTAGGAAGGCTACTATTTCTGAAGTGAGAAGTATAGGAGTTAGATTGCTGAGTGGGGAGAGAGTTTAGGATTAAGGTAAAGGTAAATAGATCCAGGTAAATTCCTTAATCAATTAAAGTTCATCATCTCCAAGAACTGTGGTGGTTTTGATTGTGTAATCCAACAAATCTGGAGGTCACACAAGTTTAATTAACTGTGGGCTAATGGTTCGGAGAAATCAGAACCCAAGGTACATATCTTTTGACCTCATAAACCAAAACTAAATTAGTGGCCCTGTTGGAAATCTTGAAGTTCTACCTTTTCTTTTAAAAGCAGTCTTTTAAGAGCAACTTCTGAAAATCAATGGGAGAGGAGAAAGTGGATATATTCTCTTTTTCTACCTTCTTGTTGTTTCTTCTTCTTCTTGTGATTAGTTTTATTTAATTCCAGGACTGAGGTTCCAGAGAACTTTTTAATTGGGAGCACCATATTGCCTCTGTCTTGCTATGATCCAGAGAACATCAGTAGCAGCTTGACGTACAATATAGTCAACCAGAACCCACCTTATGCCTTCAAAATGGATGGCCCAAATTTTCAGGTGAGTCTTTGGAGTGGAACATCAGTTGCTAGGTATATATCAGGGGAGGCTTGAATAAATTCGTCCACAACAATTCATATGAGCAGTACTGAAAATGTACATTTAAATGAAGAGTACATTTAGTACAAAGCTCAAAGAGACCTTGATTGAAGCTTTGGATCTTAGCTGACTAAGGATCCCTCTTTTGTAGAAGATGCCATAAGCTTTTCTGCCATGGGTTAATAACTAAAGGTAACTTCTGACCTCTTTCTCCTGATCTTTCTATCCTGTGGACTGATAGGTAAATAGCAGTTTGGACTATGATTCAAAAAGTATGGCCGCTCGTAACTTTCCATACAAAGCTGACATTCTAGTGATAGATGAAGGAAGTCCTGCACAAACCAGTAAGTACCACATTGCTAAAAAGCACTATTCAAAGTTTGTCATTCCTAGATATTGATGAAATATCTATTGATGAAAGAAACCTGGAAGAATTCTAGAAGATATCTCTCCCAAATGTTTGGACCATGGCTGCATAAATAGCTATTTGAAATGTGTTGATAAAAATAAATTTAGAATGTTTATCACTGTTGTCTGACCTGGAGTAAAGTACTACTAATATGTAATTTTATGCAGAAAAGCAAAGCTAACTAATATACTATTGTGCAATTTCCTGCCCTTTGTATAAAACAAAAAACAAAATAAAAGTTTGTATCAGGGTAGTTGAAATTACAGACTAAATTACTAAAGAATATATTTTTTCCCAAATAAGGAGAATTATTTAAGCATGAGAAATAAAATTTGAATCGAGTTTCACATTTAGTGACTAATAGATCATATACTTTTCTTGACAAACATCTTCCTGTTTTCCTGGTCATTGTTCAGAGTCAAATGTTCATACTTTTTTTTCAGTACTATTGAAATAAAATAGGGGAATTATTAGTTTGCCCAGAAGCAGTTATCAGCATTGTTAAGTGTGGGAGTTGAAAGAAGAGGCAGGACTCCAGCAAGTAACTTCAGCTTTTTATTTGCGGCTTGGAAAAACTTCTGCAGGGCTTTAAAGGGAGCTGTCCAGCAGCCTAGCCACTGACATTGCTTTAATTTTCCCACCGTTCGAATGGACTAATGAGCGGCGAGTATGCTAATGTCCTGCTAAATCCGGACCTGAGTGAAGCCTATGCTCCAGGCTTCACTCTCTCTTTACATATTCAACAAGCATATTAATGTAAAGGCATCAAAGAGACTGAAAGAAGCAATTGAAAAACAGCAGTTGGTTGAGACTGATGGGAACCATGCATTGGTGCCTGACTGGAGACAATTGCTAAGTAAATTTGTGATAGGCAAACAACAGCTACATGTGATCTGTGTCCTTCCTCCATAGAAAGCAGATCAGTCGGAAAGCCCACGATAAACTACCAAGATGTATGTTTGATAAATCCATCAAAAAATTAATACAATTGAAATAATAAAATTATACCAAATGGGAAATGTTCAGAGGCTATTTAATACAACTGTGTTCTTCCTATATGTATTAGAATAAGCCTTTCCCCAATGGAACATAACTATTAATTTTAGGGTACAACACTTAAAATACATATAGAAGTTGAGCAAATTTAGCAGAATGCCGGTATGTAAGAGAATCAAGTTGTTATACTAAGTTCTAACCATATTAAGCCAACATATGAATCATTCCTAAAGATATGCATACTCATCCTCTATGTTATGGTGCTTAGCCGTATTTGTCTATATAGGCCCACCTCATGGGTCTCTAGTGTGGATGCCAGAGTGGGAATGTGGCCACAGACATCTCATTTAATGGCTGCCAGGCTCCATATCTTTCCTGATCTTATTTTTATTTTTAGATTTCTTAAAAAACCAAGGTGGTTTGGTTCAGAACAAAACACCAGCCTCAAGCATTATCTTTGTTTCCAGCAGTGTTTCTGAACTTCACTATACCCCCAGAGGCATTAGAAATGACAAATGATTTGGTAGCTAGAGCCAGTGTTTTGTTTGGCAGTATGCCCAGCTGCCCAGAAAAATAAGGACAGATGTAAGGTGAAATGGTAGAGATGGGGTCGCAGGAATTAACCTCTTTAGTTTGCCTTCCAGTAAATTGGCTTTTTCTCACTAGTTGCCCCATAGTAGCTATTTTATGAGAATGCTCATGGCAGATTTTAAAAATTCCTAATATATTATGGGTCCCAAAAGATTGGGGATCACAGGTCTATGCCCATTCATGTATAAAGTATGATTAAGGGCAAACTTTCCAGTGAAATGGACAGAAGAATGTTGAATTCTTCTCCATGTGACTTACATCCCAATATGCAGTGGTGGGATTCAGCCAGTTCGCACCTATTCAGGAGAACCAGTTGTTAACTTTCTAAGCAGTTCGGAGAACCAGTTGTTGGAAGAAATCTTATTTTGTTTTTTTCCACTTTACAGGGCTAATCCTGTAAGGAATGCAGGAAGGAAACATTCTGGTGTTGTTTCTAGCTTACTCTTTATTGCCCTGCTTACAGAAACTGCCTCTCTGCTTATCCCTTTATTACATTGTAACAGCTAAGGCAAAGCACCCATTGACATGAGTGATGTTGAGTTGGCCACACCCACACAGTCACATGATCACTGAGCCATGCCTACCCAGCTGGTCATTAGGGCAGAGAACCGGTTGTTAAATTATTTGAATCCCACCACTGCCAATATATATATAGGGAACTACAGAGATGGCCTTGAAGAAAACATGCAGTAACCATTAGCAAAACTTGAACTTAGTCCAGGAAGGCAGAAAAGTATGCCAAGGAAACCCAAGAGTAACTGTCTTTGATATAAGAGAGACAGAAGGAGAAATTCTGTCAGTCTTTTGTGTTATTATAGCTTATATAGAGTTCTAGTATTTCTTGTGGTCGATTCCTGACTGTGCCTTTAAGAACGGACAATAGCACTGTGAAAAGTACCTAGAAGGAGTTATCTCTGGGAGATAAGCAGATGATAGTTTCTCACTCATTTTCATCCCTGCTTTCCTCTAAAAATCAAATCACCCACTTGATTGGCAAACCTAGGGGTAAACCTTCAGATCTACATCCTTCATGTATTACTGTATTTGAGTTTTGCTTGCTGTCTGTAATTATGTAGGTTACTTGCCAATTACAGTGTGCTTGCTGGAACTTTGTCATCATATAAGATTTCTGAGTTTCTTTCTCTATCTTGCAGCCACTGTTTCTGTGCTGGTGACAGTAAGACGAGTGAACGAATTCCCCCCAAAGTGCTCGAAATTGGAATTCCGTGTACCAGAGAATACTGAGTATGGATACAGCATTGGCAATGTCAGTGGCTCTGATCAAGACTATCCATTCGACAACATTGAATACAGCATAATGGATGCGGATCCTAGAGTTTTCTACATTAATAGCCGTACAGGTAAGTTAATGGTGATCCTTCATGGCAGGGCCTCCCCAGGCTTTATTTACTAAACAGCTTAAGGCAGTGGTGAAATCCAAATATTTTTATTACCGGTTCTGTGGGTGTGGCTTGGTGGGCATGGCTTGGTGGGCATGGCAGAGGAAGGATACTGCAAAATCTCCATTCCCACCCCACTCCAGGGGAAGGATACTGCAAAATCCCCATTCCCTCTCCATTCTTGGGGGAAGGATATTGCAAAATCTCCATTCCCACCCCACTCTGGTATTTGCTGGTTCTCTGAACTGCTCAAAATTTCCACTACTGGTTTTCCAGAACCTGTCAGAACCTTTTGTATTTCACCCCTGACTTAAGGGTCTTCTTTCACTAATTGTTTCACCTGTCTGAAACTGACTCCATCAGGACTTCCTCAGGGGGAATACAACAATACACTGAGCTCCCATATTTAGAATCAAATTATGTTTAGCAACTGCATGAGGAAGGTAGGTTCCAAACTCTGTAAAGTATAAAATAGGCACTACCATATATTTTAGGTCAAACAATTCCTAAAGAAGAAAATGAAACTTACAAAAAATAATTAGTGAAAAGACAGAAAGCTTGTAGGGTTTTCTATTTTATTGGACAGAATGTCAAATAGCTTAATTACAAAAGAAAGAACAAGAAAGAAAGAAAGAAAGAAAGAAAGAAAGAAAGAAAGAAAGAAAGAAAGAAAGAAAGAAAGAAAGAAAGAAAGAAAGAAAGAAAGAAAAAGAGGGAGGGAGGGAGGGAGGAAGGAAGGAAGGAAAGGAAGGAAGGAAGGAAGGAAGGAAGGAAGGAAGGAAGGAAGGAAGGAAGGAAGATTGATTTTTGACCATTGTTCATGTTTCTTTCTCTCTCTCTCTGCTTTTGCCTGCCTTCCATCCCGGCTTTCCAGTTAAATGTTTTGATATTTTATATGTATAATAAATAAGCACCAACTATATTTTTGCTAGCTGAACTGTGTGGCATGTGGATATAGATACTGACAAGGAGCAGGCTCGGTCTGGATGCAGACTAAACTGGAAATCACCCAGAATAGTTTTTTTTATAAAATGTCACAGGTCAGCTGCATGTACTTTTGCCCCTGGATTATGAAGATCAGAAAGTGTATCATCTGGCTGTCATTCTAAAAGACCTGGAGAATGAAGCAGCTCGCGGCACTCAAAAGACAACGACATGTAATGTCACGATTTTCGTGACGGTAAGTTGAAAACAGAAGAGAGGCTACAGTATGTTGATACAGACAGAGCATTGACTAGCCACTGCCCTGCCCCAGCTGCACCATAAATTATATCCCCCAGATCAAGCAATTGATTAAGTGAGATGACTGGAGAACTCTGACTTGCATGCTGGATTCCCACCTCACTTGGTAGCTCCTGAAACTCTGCTGAACAATTCAGCAGCAGCAGCAGATGCCAGCTTTTGTGGGACATAATTATTGGTTATTGGGGTGGGGGGAGGAATGTGCATATGTCTATGGATATATATGTTTCAGGGGTGGGTTCTAAAATTTTTTACTACTGGTTCTGTGGGCGTGGCTTATTTTGTGGGCATGGCTTGGGTGGTGGTGGGTAATGTGACTTGGTGGGTGTAGGCAACTTTTTTTTTTTAAACTTTTAAAAGCATTTTTTCTACAACCTTAAGTGGTTGCAGAAAAAAATGCTTTCAGAAGCCTCTTGACGATCCCAGCTGAGCCGCGTGATCATCAGAGGCTTTTTTTTAACTTTTAAAAGCATTTTTTCGACCGAAGAGGTTGTAGAAAAAATGCTTTTAAAAGTAAAAAAAAAAAAGCCTCTGATGAGGTGGGCGAGGTAAGCGAGGTGCGACCGGGCCGGGGATCAGGCCGGGGACTGGTTCGGGGGTGTGGCCAGCCAATGTTATTACCGGTTCTCCGAACTACTATAAATTTTTACTACCAGTTCTTGCGAACCGGTGCGAACCGAGAGCAACCCACCACTGGTATGTTTGAATAAAAACAATATTAAGGCTATTAAATGCTTTACGCGGCCTGGCCCTAAAAAAGAAAAACCCAAACAAGGCAACGTGTTCAGCTCTAACCTGTGTAGCAGCATGACTAAACGTCCCCCTCTAATTTTTAAAAGTGGGGAGTGCAGCCACTCTGTTCACAGAAAGGTTGGCCCATCTTGTGCTAGGAAAAGCTGAGCTTTGAACAGGCTCCTTTTCCTATGATTTACAATTACTCATCTGCTATGTGAGTAGTGGGGGCAATACGCAAATGTATCCTGTGTTATATATTTGTATCTTTCCACTTCTGCTCTTTAATAGGCTATACAGCAGGGGTGTCAAACTCAAGGGTGCTTAGATCTGGCCCACGGGGTCCCGTGAAAATAGTGAGGGACCGGCCCTCGATGCCTCTGCCAGCAAAAACAGAGCTCCGTTTTTGCTGGCAGACGGTTGGAGGAGGCTATCGCAGCTGAAAACAGAGCTCTGGAGCTCTCATTTTTGCTGGCAGAGCACTTGGGCCACCACAAGCGCCCCTGACACAAGTGACGTCAAGCTGGCCACACCCACCCCGGCCCCCTGAGGTCAAACACAAACCTGATGCGGCCCTCAATGAAATCAAGTTTGACATCCCTGCTATACGTTAATGTATTTTATTGGTTTTAAGTTATCACTCTTCTAAAATATCCATTTGTTAAGGACATTTGCAAGGAGAAACATGGCCTGTTGTCCTCCCTGTTGCTATAAAGATGCCTATCTATGGGTCCTTTCTGTCAGAAACCTTGAAAACAAAAATTGCACTGGCATAATTGTGTTTTGTTTTTTTTTATTCAAGTGGGAGTAGAGAGCTGTATAGAGTAGCCAAATTGGTGCCTTCTAAATGCATCGGAGTCACTGCCCATTCTCTCACAATCCCTAGACCAATAGCTGTGCTGGTTGGGAATTGTTGCCAGAACATCTGAAATGTACAAAGTAGGATCATCTCTAAAAGCTTTGATTTTATAGCCCGGTATTTGCATGCAACTTTTAAAACTGCATACAATAGTAAATAGCAGCCATGAAACCTGCTTCAGATCCAGAGCACTGTAATACAAGAGAAAAGCAGGGTAGCCATTTTCCCTTTTGTTGCTCTGCTAACAAAAATAAGTTCTAAAACTTCTGCAAGGCCTGGATGGAGCAGGTTTTCACTGAGGGCAGTGGGTTGCGATCTTAATACCATATCCATCTATCAATGGGCTAGCAGGAATGCCTGCTAGCCCATTGAATACAGGTAGTCCTCAACCTACAACCACAGTTGAGTCCGAAATGTCTTTTGCTAAGCAAGACAGTTAAGTGAATTTTGCTCCATTTTACGACCTTTTGTGCACAGTTGCTAAGTGAATCACTGCAGTTGTTAAGTTAGTAACACGGTTGTTAAGTGACTTCACTGACTTTGCTTGTCAGTAAGTCGCAAAAGGTGATCACAGACCCCGGGACACTGCAACCATCATAAATAGGAACCAGTTGCCAACTGATCTGAATTTTGATCATGTGACCATGGGGATGCTGCAAACTGTCGTAAATGTGAAAAACAGTCATACTGTAAGTCAATTTTCTCAGTGCCATTGTAACTTCAAATGGTCACTAAACGGATGGTAGTAAGTCAAGGACTACCTGTGTTGTAATCTCATCTGGCAAATAACCAACTGCAGAAAGTCATACTTTTCCAGCCCAAAATCACTTCTACAAGTATCTGCTTTATGCTATTATTTAGTCTTATTTGATTTGTGTAGATTTACATAGCTAAGCTATGCTGGCTGGAGAATTCTGGGAGTTGAAGTCCACAAGTCTTAAAGCTGCCAAGTTTGAAGACCTCTGGTGTAGAATTGTACTTATACACATGTTGCAATAGCTTAATTCCCTTTGTGGCAACAGGGGAAGCCTGAGGCCTAGAAATCTTTCTTGCTTGGAGGCTTGTGTTTTGGAAAGTCTCTGATCATTACACAAGGAAGAGAATGTTTGGAAACCTGTGAGCTGTCTACCATGAAACCTGGTATCTTTTTTATCCCCAGGATGTGAACGATCATCCTCCTACGTGTAAAGAATCATTTTTGATGCGTTCCATATATTCCACTGCAGCCAGAGACGTAACCAATATTAATTGTGAAGATAAAGACACGGGAACCAAACTGACCTACAACATTGTTCGCGGTATGGAATGGGTTGCAAATTGCCGGGACCTGTTTAAATAAATTAAAAGTTATTCGTACCAGGGTCTTCTTTTGGACCTGGAAAAAGAAGGAATAAGCTGAACTTGAAACAGGGAAAAAGTTGGAGAATAGAAGCTCACCAGTGAGGGCTGTTACTGCTGCTACTTATAAAATGATTCAATAATTAAATTGCAGGAAAAGTGGATTTAGCAAGATGGACCCAGTTAGTGCTGGATAGCAATGATAGAGGGAATGTGCTGGAAATAAAGCATATTTTTTCATAGGGATGCTCTCCAGGTAGGGATGTCATCCAGCTGGTTCAATCCAGTTTCTGCAAAATGATTGTTAACCATTTTTGTCCCCTGAGATCTGGAAGGCTATGCCTTTCCTCATTTTGCCTTAATTGCCCTAGACCAGTGATGGCGAACCTTTTTGGCACCGAGTGCCCAAACCGGAACGTATGTGCATGTGTGTGCATGTGCCAGAGTGCTGGAAACCCGAAGACCAGCTGGCTGGCTCATGCATGCCTGGCTTTTGGCCATTTTTGGTCATTTTTCAGGCCACTTTCAGGCCGTTTTTGGCCCAAAAAATGGCCCCGAAACAGCCTGTTTTTCAGGCCTTTTTCTGGTCATTTTTCTGGCCGTTTTCAGGCACTCCGGCAGCCGCGAAGACCAGTTGAAAACCAGAAGAACAGCTGACAACGGTGCATGTGCCCACAGGGAGGGCTCTGCATGCCACCTCTGGCACGTGTGCCATAGATTTGCCATCATGGCCCTAGACTTTTTGATGATGATCTGAAATGGGGCTCCTGACCTCTGGGAATTGTAGTTCAAAGTAAGCTAAATGGAAAGTGATGGGGCTTCTGTGGGAATTTCTTGTGGACGACTGGCCCAGCAAGTGGGAAAGCACTCAGAATGGAGGAACATAAAACAAGCAGGCTGGCAGAGACGGGGTCATTTTTCAATGTGTGGCAAAATCTTTTGCCTAGTGAACTGAAAAGAGACCAACTTTTTATAGGATCATTCTTGCTGCAAGGGATAGTCCATTTCCTAGCTGGAAGAAAACTGGTCTCTTCCCACATCCTACTTCTTTGGCTCAAGCCAGGAATAACAACCACCTTTCCCCCTGGAACCTTCCACCCTCCCCCTTCCAAGTTCTATACTAAGGTGTTTCATGTATCCCTGAAGATTGACTCAGCCTTCCATCCTTCCGAGGTTGGTAAAATGGGGACCAAAATTCAGTGGTGGGTTGCCTCCGATTCGGACCGGTTCGCAAGAACCGGTAGTAAAACCGATGGGAGGCTCCGCCCACTGACCCCGATGCCATCAGGAAACTTCTGTGCATGCGCAGAAGCGCGCACATGCACACAAGCGAAGCAAGCACATGCGCGCGGCCCCGTTGTGAATCGGTAGTAAAGGTAAGTAGAAAACACCCCTACCAAGATTGTTGGGGGCAATATGCTGACTCTGTAAACCGCTTAGAGAGGGCTGTAAAGTACTATAAAGCGGTATATAAGTCAAAGTGCTATTGCTATGGCTTCACAATTCACAGAAGGTTTTTAATGCAACAGTGGAGTGGAAGTCCTGTCAATGGGAAGTTTTGGAGACATTTGGATGGATTTGTTTATATATTTTTTAGAATGTACACTTCTACAAGTTTAGGAAAAAAAAAAGATTAATGAGGCAGATCTTTATGTGGAGTGTGGTTGTGGGGTTATTACTCATTAAATGCCACTAGTAGTTCAGAAGGTAACTGGCTGGATTTTTGCTCCCAGTACTGGCCAGCCGTAGAGGAAGGAAGGAGAGCACTAATTGGTTCAGGAGGGTCTGTGACAATTCGCCATGGCCAAGTCGCCACGGCCATCTCACCACAGGACATCTCGCTGGGGACAAGAGTTACACTAATATCAAAGAAATGTTAGAAAAGAAAAATTAAAGAAAGGATGCAAAAGGAGGGACATAATAAAATGTGAATGGCAAAAATTAAAATATTTTTTATTTATTTTAAATAATTAAATAGAATTGTTACCATTAGAATTGTTAGAATTGTCCCACAGCAAGTTGGCCATGATGTGTTGGCTGCAACAAGTTGGCTGTGGTGAGTTGGCCGCAGCAAGTTGGATGTGGCAAGTTGCCCCATTCCTGGCTCAGGATGCTCCCAGTGACTATCAGAGTCACAGGTGTGAATATAACAATGCCTACTGTATTTTGGTGTTGACAGAGATCTAAAATAGTGAGGATGATTGTGGATCAGTTTCAAAGAGCTTTCCTAAAGATTTCTGGCAGAAAGTTACAAGCAATTAAATTAGGAATAAATTTAACACTCACTTAAAAAAGCAATGCTCTTTTCTTTTCTAGGCAATGTAAATGGCCGTTTTCGCATGGTAGAACAAAGCCTTTTCCATAACACCTTTTCCTACAGACCTGATGGTATATATGATCCTCTTGTTTTTGTGCTTCTGGTGGAAGTGACAGACGGTCACTTCAGCACCATGGTCACAGTTGTTGTTAATGTGATCCCTTGGGCCACAACTGTATCTACTACCACCATAACTACTACGGTGAGCAGTCATATGTGTTGCAGGCACAGACTTTTTCTTTCATTTGCATCACTGGAGTTATCACACATTTTTGGTATTTGTCCCACAGACTATTCCCCCAGTCTGTGAGGTAAGTCATGAGAATGGATATTTATTTCTCTATCTACATTGCTTCCATAATGAAGCATTTAGATGCCTCCAGAGGAGTGGCATTTAAAGATTGCTTTATAGGTTCTGGTAATGTAAAAGCCCAGTGGATTGTCTGAGGCACTGGGAAATTAGCACTATTTATTTTTATCCCACCACAGTGAATATACAGTATATAATACTCCTATTTTCCCTATAACAACAACCGTATGAAGTGGTTTGGGCTGAAAGAGAGGGACTGACCCAAATTCACTCAGCTAGCTTTCATGCCCAAATTGGGATTTAAATCAATCTTCTTGTTATTTTATGTTACTTTTTTCCCTCTCCATGTGATTTGGAATATGTGTGTGAGAGTGAATGACTCTGAGGCTGTTACTCAGCATGGTTTTATCTTGCTATTGTAAAGTATTCTGACTTAGCTACTGAGAGAATGTCAACAAAAACTCCTAGAGCTGGTAGCATTAATCATACTAGTTTGGCTGCTGCAAATTGTAATTTGCAATAGGCGTAGGGCTAAATATTCCCTGGCATTGTTGAAGCACTATTGCAGGCTGAATAAGGAATAATAGATTGAATCGGAGTTATGATGAAGAATGAATTGAAAAGAAATGTCCATAAAATTCAAGAAGAATCAGCACCCAATAATTTAGCTCTTTCATGAGCTACATGGGTAAAGTTTGGCTGGGCTGAGTTTAGCATCTGAAAAAGCTGTGTGTCTCTGCATACTAAATTTACACCATGATTATGATTTCAGACAACCCCCAAGAAGCCGATTGTTTTGCACAGAACTGTGACATATTGGGCACCAGATCCATGGTTTGTGGTGGTTCTTACACTCACTGGAATCCTCTTATTTTCTGCGTTGGGTTTGCTGTTTTGGCAATTCTGCCGGAGGTGAATATTCAGGAAAATCACATCTGTGTTACTAGCTTGAAATCTAATATTAACTACAGATTGACTTATTGATTTTGTGTCATCAAGTCAATGCTATTAGCAACTACTTAGATGAACCTTCTCCAGGATGACTACAGTTACCTGTTCCCTGAAAATAAGACATCCCCTGATAATAAGCTCAATTGGGCTTTTGAGCGCATGCGCTAAAATAAACCTCCCCCCGAAAATAAGCCCCCCCAAAAATATTTAAACGCAGAGCTGGAAATCAGGTAAGATGGCAAGAGGAGCCCCATCTTGCTCCACACGCCCCGAAATAATAAGACCTCCCTGAAAATAAGGCCAAGCGCTTATTTCGGGGTTAAAAAAATATAAGATTTATTTTTGGGGAAACATGGGTATTAGCATCAGCTATTTCAGGATGCATTATGAAAAGGTATTAGACTGAAACCAAAGATGAGTAATCCTCAACCAAGGAGCATGATACTATGTGGTAAAATATATTGTAGCCCTTCCCCTGAATGGAAACCTTGATCTTTTCCAGTTTACTCTATGCTCCAAGAAACCATTCCCTGATCTTCCAGGCTGAAAAAAACATTATAATTTATTTCATACCATCTCAAAGCTCCGACTACATTCAAATAGGAGATGATGTCTTCTGAAAATTGACTCTGTTCTTGTTTGGCTTTCAGAAAGTCACCAGGAGAGATATCTCAGTCTCTATTGCAGAACACGTAAGTGCTTCTTGTCATGAATAACTTGTAATCATCATGTGAAAATACCGTTTCTATATTTCATGTCTAATTTTGGGGACAAAGCATTGGAATAAGCTACAGATACAAACTATTAATTAGAAGCCTTTTATGTTTAAAGTCCAACAAAGAAAAATAAGATAGCATACCATCAATATCAAAGCTGTATGTGTGGAAGTAGAAACGTAATTTGTAAACATTGGCATTTGCTAAAGATTATACCTAGAAATAGGAATACATTACAGGCCAATACTGACTGGTAAATACAGTATTTGAACTGCTATCAATATAATAGTTTTACAAGTTCTCCTAATAATAGAACTCACAATTTAAGGGAATTTTCATCTGTCCATCTAAAGAAGTTGTCTATGCTACCTAATGGCCACGTTAAGTTACTTTGCATGGGCATGACGTCGCAGCTCTATCAACAAAAGCAGCTTTCAGATTCCATTAGAAAAGCATGATTTAGAAAAAGACCACAAGACACAGATTGTAAAATTTTGAGAAGGTTAAATGTGAAAGTGACAACTTTCAAAACACTTTCTTAAAGTGGGAATTCTAAAAACTTAAAACATGTCTTTCCTTTGGACTCAATAGGGGAATGGAATGCCGTAATATGGAGTGATTGTTGTCATTTCCCTTTATTTCTGCCTTGAAATATAGTTGGTGAAAGGAATTTACTACTGCATTTCTCTGTGTGGCAATTATATTCACCTTTAACCCTCACAACATTACCAATAACAGTCTCATAGTCCTTACAGCTTTATAATTTCTACAGTAGTTTTGGCATTTTGTTTTGTTTGATCTATGGATCAGATAGTTATGAACTTAAACTCATGTTCCTGTATATGTATAAATATATGTATATCAGGGGTGGGTTCTACTTACCTTTACTACCGGTTCACAGCGGGGCAGAAGAAGCTTCTGCGCATGCTCAGAAGCGATTTGATGACCTCGGGGTCGGTGGGCGGAGCCTGCTGCCAGTTTTACTACCGGTTCTATAGATCCGGTGCAAACCGGGGGCAACCCACCACTGATGTATATGCATATGTATTTGTTTATTTACGCACACACACACACATAATGATGATGTTATCCTCTGTCATGTCCGACTCTTGGTGATTCTATGGGCCAGGTCTCTCCATGTCTTCCAATCTTGCACTGATTCTTTGAGTTTTTCTTGCTCTGTCAGCTTTTATGGTGTCCAGCCATTGTGTTCTTTAGTGGCCTAGTTTCCTTTTACTGCTTTTACTGCTAATCTTCCAAACATAGTTGTTTTTTTCCAATGAATTCTCCTGCAGGACACGGCCAAAATAAGTAAGATGCAGTTTTGTGATTTTTGCCTTCTAGGGGCATGGCTGGTGTTATGTACTCCAGTACTTGCTTGTTAGTCATCTTTGTTGTCCAAGGAAGACACCGGAGCCTTATCCGGAACCACAGCTCAAACGAGTCGATTTTCTTCCTGTCTTGCTTTTTTAAGGTCCAGCTTTCACAACCATAGGTAGCTGTGGAGAACATGACAGAATGGACTAACCTACATTTGGTTGCCAGGATGATGTCCTTGCTTCTTCGTACTCATCATTGCTGAATATGAACATGGCTCAAGTTCATCATTGCTGTGCGAATGGGATGTTTTATTCAGGGGTTGGTTCTACTTACCTTTCCTACCCGTTTGCAACAGGAGCGTGCGCGTGCATGCGCAGATCACCTTTGATGACATCGGGGCGGGTGGGTGGAGCCTCCCACCGGTTTTACTACCGGTTTTATAGAACCGGACAGAACCGGGAGCAACCCACCACTGGTTTTATTTCTGGGCTGTATCCACCAGTTTGATCGATCTGCGATCCTAGGAAAGTGAATTGTTCCACACATTCTATCTCTTCACCTTCAATTTCTATTGTGATGTTTCCATTCCTTGCAGTGGTCATGAGCTTTGTCTTTTTAATGTTCAGAAAGAGACCAAAATTTCCACCCCACTCCAGAAGAAGGATACTGTAAAATCTCCATTTCCACCCCACTCCAGGAGAAGGTACTGTAAAATCTCCATTTCCACCCCACTCCAGGAGAAGGATACTGTAAAATCTCAATTTCCACCCACTCGAGGGGAAGGATACTGTAAAATCTCCATTTCTACCCGACTCCAGGAGAAGGATACTGTAAAATCTCCATTTCCACCCCACTCCAGGAGAAGGATACTGTAAAAATCTCCATTTCCACCCCACTCCAGGAGAAGGATACTGTAAAATCTCAATTTCCACCCCACTAGAGGGGAAGGATACTGTAAAATCTCCATTTCCACTTCACCCCACTCCAGGGGAGGGGAAGGATACTGTAAAATCTCCATTCCCTCCCCACCCCACTAACTTGCTTTCCAGCTCCCTTCTCCTGTGCAGGGCAACAAAAGAAGACCCAGCCAATCAGCTGGGACTCGTTCAGCTGGGACTCGGGAGGCAGCGAATAGATGGGGGCGGGGCCAGTCAGAGGTGGTATTTGCTGGTTGTCACAACTACTCAAAATTTCTGCTACCAGTTTGCCAGAACCAGTCAGAACCAGCTGAATATCACCTCTGAGTCACATAGTTGTTAAGTGAATCTGGCTTCCCTATTGATTTTGCTTATCAGAAGGTCGCAAAAGACTGATCACATGACCCTGGGACACTGCAACTGTCTTAAGTATGGGCCAGTTGCCAAGCATCTGAATTTTGATCACGTGACCACGGGGATGCTGTAACACTCGTAAGTGTAAAATTGTTATGTCACTTTTTTCAGTGTTGTAACTTTGAATCATCACTAAATGAACTGTTGTAAGACAGGACTACCTACATACGTGCACGCACGCACGCACACAGACATGTATATTTATATAGACTTAAATGGCTACTTTTGAGAACGGTACAATTGAAAACCATTTGTTCTGCTTCTACATGTTCCTTTTTGTTATTAGGAATTCCATTCTTCTGGTCTTTGTACAGTTGTGTACAGTGGTGGCTCCCTTGCTGGTTATACTAATATTTACATTTTTATAAATTTGTGTGTCTATAAATATGTGTCTGTATTACATGCTGGTCCTTTCATTTGAAATGAGCTATTGGATATACACCATACTAACAGACTCCGTTTTTACATTAACTGATGGTGGAACAAAATCTTTTGCAAAGCGTGATGTGGATGGGGCTCTGTTGAATACACCCCAACAGATGAAATTCTGTGCCAGCTTGGAAACTCTACATCAAAGGCTCTAAGAAAAATAACATTCTACCATAAGAATGTTTTATGCAAATTCCGTTTATTGGCTTTTTAATTATTCTGCTTCTGGCAGTCTAGAGGGAGGAACCATTATAATATGCTAAGCATCAGTGCTTTATTCTTTAGTTCTGTGGTTCTCACACTTTCAGGTATTTTGAACCCTTCAAATAAAATAAATGTATATTAATTCCCCTAGGAATTAATGGTTTCATTAATGTTAGGATTGGGCAAGAAGTGTGTTGCAATATTTTTAGGATCAGACTCAATAATAATAATGAGAGTTAGAGGTTTAAATATATTTCTCTTTAATTATAATAGGCATTCTATATTCACTGAATATTCACAGATAGAAGCGAAGAAAATGGTGAAGGTGGCTCCTTATATATACAAAGGGTGGAGCCAAGAGTGGGAGTGGTGAATTATGAATACATTAAGAGTCAAAGAATAAGTTAACCCCTGATATCCCATATATACATTATTTACACATTAGGGAATAAGGCATTTACATCTGACAAATCCCCCTCTAAATGCCGGTTCGCTATACAACACCAATTACATTCAGATTCAGGACAATATAAGACATACAATTTGGAAGTTAAGTATTTGTGCTGTTTAGAAGGTAAAGGCTTCGTCAATATGTCAGCCAATTGTTTCAGAGGTATCACAATGCACTGCTTTGATAAATCCATCTTGAGACAATTGTCTCACATGCTTAAATTTTATATCTATATGCCTGGATCTTTGTCCAATGGCATCGGATCTAGATATTTCAATGGCCGCTTTATTGTCTTCATGCATAACAAAAGGCAAAGCAGGTTTTATCCAAACATCTGAAATTAAATCATTAAACCATACAAGGTTATTTGCAGCTTTGGATAAACAAACATATTCCGCTTCTGTGGTTGAAGTGGCTACCAGTTCTTGTTTACCAGTGTACCAGTAAACTGGACAGTCATTTAACAGAAAAATATAACCAGAAGTACTTTTTCTGCATGATATATCTCCAGCCCAATCCGCATCTGCGTAACATGTAAGTCTTGGTTCTTTATTATCACTAGGTTCTAATACTAGGCAAAAGTCTAATGTACTTTTCAGATATCTTAAAATTCTTTTGACAGCTTCCCAGTGATACATTGTTGGTTTGCTAACGTGCCTTGATAATAAATTGAGTGGTAATGCAATATCTGGCCTGGTCCAATTAGATATATAAAGAAGTGAACCTATGACTGATCTATAAAATGTATTATCCCTGAATTCAGGGGAAGATTCATCAGTATTTCTAAGGAAATCAGTTTGCATAGGAGTGTCACAGGGTTTGGCATTGTTTAAATTGCATTTGTTTAGAAGTTCAATAATCTTATCTTTCTGAGTAAGTTTGAATCCCTTTCTAGTTTTGTTAATTTGTACACCAAGGTATTTGTTTACTTTACCTAGAGATTTCAACGAGAAATGTTCATTTAACTTGTTACAAAGATTTCTCTTCTCTCTTTGTGTTTTCCTATATATAAAATATCATCTACATAAATCAATACAAATTCAATGTGATCATCACTCTTTTTGACAAAGAAACAGTTATCAGCAGTGGTAGCGTTGAAATCCATGGTCTTAAGTACTTTTACCAAGCAATCGTACCATCTTTTGCCAGATTGCTTTAATCCGTATAAACTCTTGTTCAATAGCCAAATTTCATTTTTATTAGTGTATTGACTGTGAGGTGCTCTTACATATATTTCCTTA